ATATATATATATATATATATATACATTTTTTTTATTTACAATGAATACGATTTAATTTATATTCATTTAATATTATTTCTATAGAATTTTAATTCAAATATCAATCAATTTTATTATCTACCGTATTTCAAAACTGGAAAAAATGGAATAATGCTTGTACATAATAATAAAGTACATAATTTTATAATTCACGGTAGATTATGAATATTGAAAGGTTCTGTTTCATAATCGAAAGTCTAAAAATCCTATGTAACGAAAATAATCGAATATCCTATTGATGTCACATCGTGATAATGAATATTCTACGATTGAAATTCTGAAACAAATAATAACGAAAATAATATCCGTCGCATAATAAGGGAAATACATCGTTAGAAAATAATACTCTCGTAAGTCTCTTCCCCTCTCGTTCCATTTTCGACGACACTTTTACGAGAGGATCCGGCCCAAAATTAGAATGTTAGAACGTGCACGGGATATCAAGGATTCTCCTCGATTCTCCCTCGAGGAGATTGATTGCGTTTCTCGTTTAAAGTGCAGGCTGACGGCCGCGTTAACTGCAGCAACGCGTGTTATTACTTCAACGCGTGTCACCGTGCTCCGCGGCCGTATGACAAATTAGCTACTGCACGTCGTTAAACGTCGGCAGGTGATTCACGCGAAACGCTATATCCACCCGATAAGAGTGCCACGATCGCTCCTGAATACGTTTCACGTGCATGCAGGATCGATATTTGAAACTTGAATTACGTCCTAGAATTTCACGCGACCTACCTCTTGATACATACGTGTATGTATCTCTACACAGGCACATAAACGCGTTTCCTTATATAAAGTTTCGATTAATTAATTTTTTGTTGGTTCTTCTGAAAAAACTTGATGAATTACATCTTTTCTCTATTTTTTTCTTTTTTTTTGTAGAAACAATTTTTAATAACTGTACCTTTGTAAAATTCGGTTTTTCGAAAAATTTTTACATTATTACATTTATTCGCATCACAAGTGTTTTTGTTAAATATACAAATATATTTGCATGAAGAATACTCGTATGAAAAATATATTGATTTCAGAGGAAGGTATTGGTTATCGTATTTTAGATATTAGATAGCTTAGATCATTAAACTTCATCTAGATCATTCAACCTTCAGAGAGGTTGAATTTTTGTTTGACTGGAATAGTTTGTTTCTCTTTTTCATTTTTCATATTTTACTCTTGTAATTTAAATGTAATTTTTTTTTTTAGTAATTATTTTTTGTTTTGTATATTTAGTAAATCTAGGTTGCAAATCGTTTAGTTTTGTATTTTATATTTTACCGATTGTTAATTATATTCTACAGCGAATGTAGAAGTTGAAAATTTAGAAAGAAGTAGGCATAATATAACTAGTGTAACTAACTGAAATTTGCAATTAAAATTTTGATCACACCATCTAAATATGTTACTAATATAAAATTCTTAAGAAACAAGTGTTTTAATTTCATAAATTCATTTATGGTTAACACACTTACGTAGGTATCTATACCTTCATATTCATATTCGATTAAATTCAATTAACATTTCTACTTTAACTATAAAATGAATATCTTCAAAATTTTTCATAGATCAAATTATTAAATAAATCAACTACTTTTTATCACTTTTAAGACTTCGTGGTCTGAACATTCTAGTGTTTCTCAATTATCTAAAAAAAAATTCCACAATTTCAGAGAAAGACACGTATCTATCACGATTGTTCTTGATATGTTCTACTACTTGTTCACAGTATTCAACTTATAAAATCTCTTTCTAAAATCTCAACGTTATTTCA